TCAATATTCAATATTTTGGTACTATCTGACAGTGTTCCCTGGCTATAATAAGGTTTTCCACTGCTAAACATTCAGAGGTCTGCCTTAGTGTGAAAACTCTGCAGAAACCTGTCCAACATGGCTGTTGTTGTTGTTGTCAAGTGCCGTTAAGTCAATTCTGACCCATAGCGACTCTGTATAGGGTTTCCAAGGTGCAGCTGGTGAGCTTGAACCGCTGACCATGCAGTTCATACGTCTTTGCAATCTGGCTCATTAACCCACAGTGCCACACCAGGACTCCTACATGAGTGTACTCTGTTGGTATTTAAAGTACTGGTGGCATAGCTTCCAGAATCACAGCAACATGCAAGTCACCAACTGCAAGTCACTAGAAACTTACAGACGTGTGGTGGATTTTGCCCATAGAATCCTTCAATATTGATACCAGAGGCTTGAATTTTTTCTTCAGCTCTTTCAGCCTGAGAAATCCTGAGTGTTTTCTTCCCTTTTGGTTTTCTAATTCCAAGGTTTTGCACGTTACATTATAATACTTGAACTTTTCTTCTCAACTTACCTTTTGAAATTTTCCATTAAGAACTTTTCCTTCATCATTTCTTCCAGTAACTTTAGCCTCTCTACATTCAAAAGTAAGTTCCAGAATCTCTTCTGACATCCATTTTTGTCTTTTCTTTCTTTCCTGTCTCTTTAATGACCTTTTGCTTTCTTGTTATATGATGTTCTTCCTGTCATTCCATAACACTCTGGTCTTTGATCGCTGGTGTTTAGATCTATTCTGAAGGTGGTCCTTAAATTCAGGTGGCATATATTCAAGGACCCTGGGACATGAAGTAAGCGAAGAGTACTGACTGATATCATTGGTTATGGAATGCCATGACAAATTGGACATTTGTAACCACCTCCATCTCATAAGGCCAAGCCTTGTCATGCTCTTTCTAAAAGAAATTATTTATACACCATTTATGTGATTAATCCTAAAAAAATAATAAAAATGGAAAATTTGCTAGTAAATCATAAAGGAAAACACTGCACATTTTACTTCTCCTTTAAAAACTAAACTCTAATTTGGATTTATGTGATAACTGCTCCTAGATCTTTCATTTAAGTCAGCCTGTATTAATATATTTTACAAGACTTTGAAAACCAGGCAAAGATTGCATCTCAATCCAGCAGAGCTTCTTCCCAAGAGACAGGTGCAAGCAAAGGAAGAAAGCAGAAAGGGTAGGCTAAGGAGCTCTGGTAGCGTAGTGATTACAAATTGGGCTGCTAACCTCAGAGTCAGCAGTTCGAAACTACCAGCTGTTCCAAGGGAGAAAGTTGAGGCTTTCTGCTCCTGTAAAGATTTACAGCCTCAGAAACTCTGTACAGGGTCGCTATGAGTTAGAACCAACTCCAAGGTACATAACCACCACCAACCATAGTGCTCAGAGGTATGATTAGTGGAGGAAGGAAGAAGAGGAGGGGCTGATGGAAATGGGAAGTAATGGTGCAAGCAATGGGTAGTTGAAGCATTCTGAAAAAGTGGGCCAAGAAAAGCTGCCTTTCTTTTGTTTTAAGAATAGGAAAAAGGACAACAAAGATCCTTGAAACTTGAACTTGAAGAAAGGTTAGAGAAGTATGTTGAGTGCTTGCTGGAAGAAAAAGCTGCGCAGGGAGGGCAAGAGAGGGACCCTGACTAGTGAAGAGCCAGCCTGATGCAGCACAACCATTTTTAACTTTTGTGGGCAGCTTTGGCAACAGAAGGTGGCCTGGAAGAGTAGATTCACACAGGCAACAGGAAAGGAGACAACAACCATGCCCACACAACCCAGTCACAACGTTATCCTCTGCAGCTTGGCCCACTGGGCAAGAGCCAATACCAGTTCCTATACCACATGATCAAAAATAGACAACAGCCAATAACAGTTAAATCTATCCTAAACTGAGCTGCACAAAAGGTGAACAAAGAATGGTACACAGGCTTCCATTCTGTAAGTACACCTACAGGATGCAGTTGGTGAAAGCCTTAAAACAAATCAATATATAACCATCAAGTAAATACAAATATGACAATACCACAATGCTCCAGAGTCCTGGTACTACACCGTGGGTTAATGTCATGGACTGCAGGTCTGTTTGAACTGCAAGGTCAGCAGCCTCTCCTTGGAAACCCTATACGTGGTTGCTGTGAGTTGGAACTGACGCAACAGCACTTAAAAACAACAACAACAATGCCATGGAAACAACAGACAATTTTAGGTCACAAAGCAGTATGAGAGAATGGCTCAAACAAATGATCAAGATTCTGAGT